TAATAATACAATAATAAATAACTAATACTAATACTAATAATAATAATATAATAATAATAATATAATAATAATAATAACTAATAATAAAATAATAGTAAATCGTTCTATAACACTATAAAAGAAGTCAGCTTTTATAAAAGCTTTTTCACTTCTATTTAGAGCATTAGTAAGATTAGCTATAGCTTGTGTAGCATTTTGTAATGCTTGTTGTTTCATTTTATCAGGTAAGTCAGGAAGGTTATTAAGAATAGATAGAAATAGAAGAAGAAGTTGAAGTTGAGGTTAAATAACAATAGGTTAAAATTGAACAGTAATAGATTGAGATTGAAAAAGAGCAATTTGAGATAGAGGTGAAGGAGAAGGACTATCTTCAAAAGTATGTTGAGGTAAATCAGTAAAAGTGTGATGTAAACTAAAAGTTTCTGTAAGGTCTACAGAAGCAGTAATATATTCTTTTGTTTCTAAATTGTTAATAAGTAATAGAGAGATTTGTAAGGTTCAATCAGAAGTATAATAGCTTTTAAAAAGTTCAGTAGGTGTGACTAATTTACTATATAGAGCTAAGCTATCTATTAGGTTATATAAGAAGAGAATATTATTAATAAAAGTAATATCAGTAGTAGGTGGTAGGATAGGACTTCCTAAATTTCTAAGATGTTGACTAAATTCTTCTGGTTCTTTAAAACTAAAACTTAGAAGAGCATCAAAATAAAGGTTAAAAGCATTTTAGTATTCAAAAGATAAAGTAGAAAGTTGAAAAAGGTCAGTATATTTTTTAACTAAAGTTAAAGTAATTGCTCTAGGATCACCAATATTCTATTGGTATCAATAACTAAAAATAATATCTTTAATGCAAAGACAAAATGTAATTCAGTTTGAATATAAGATAATAAGGGTGGTAAAGTTGTCCTAAGTTTGGAAAGAATAATGTTAAGCTGCAAAGTTGGTTTGGTACCAAGTTCAAAATTATCTAAAATTTGAACAAGAACTAGTATGTTGAGAGAAGTAACATTAGAGACAAAATAAATCTGAATGCTAACTTAAAGTATGTTTACTACAAGATGAAATCCAATTAGGTATGCTTGTTGATGGCTTTGAATGTTCTTATTATAAAGTTCAGCAGCAGCATGGACTATAAAAGAAAAGGTGTTTCTATATCTGAAACTCTGCTAAGATAACTAATACTCATCTGGATTTCTTGTCAAAATAACTAATATTCATTTAGATCTCTTGTTAAGATAACTAATACTTGTTCAGATCTCTTGTCAGAATAACTAATACTCATCTGGGTCTCTTATTGGGATAACTTTTCCAATATATTTGAAAATGTCTCATCTAGAATGACTTGTTTTTTCTAAATATTTAATCTTTTTACTAGAAGACACCAAATGTTATAGGTAAAAGTCTTTTTAATTTTTACACTATAACAATGACACAGTACAGAAAATCTCTTATAGATATATGCAGTATTCAAGAAGAAAGTATAGCTTCTATTAAACATTATCAAGAAACTATATCCTTCTCTAAAACAGTTTAAGAAAGGTAATATAATACTAATAACTTTACTTTATTTCACTAAAAAAAGATAAACCTTGTCTGTAAGAATTATCTTAGAAGGAAAGTATCACTACAGTTTATAGTCAAAAGCTGTTTATTAAAGTAATAACAAGAACTATTTTTAGGTTTTTGTTCTTAAAGAATCCCAAAATGTGTTTACAATATTAAAGAAAAGAAAGATGTCTGTTGCTTAATTACATTTAGAGAATTTAAAAGGATTTATATATCTGTAAGCTAAGTGACTAAGTGACCAAGTAACTAAATAATTAAATGATTAAGTGACTAAGTAATTACTAAGTGACTGAAAAATTCTAGTAACTAATAACTAATGATTACTAAGTGACTAATTACTAAGCAACTAAGTGACTAAGTGATTAGATGATTAAATAACTAAGTGATTATTAAGTGATTAGAAAGTTCTATTAACTACTAATAATAATAATAATACAATAATAAAATAACTAATACTAAATAATAATAATAATAAAATAATAATAATTAATGATAATAAAATAATAATAATTCATTCTATAACAGTACTATCTTTTTGCTTAGAATTTCTAAGTAGAGCTTCTTATAAAGTATATACTTTTCAGATATATTTGTATAACATTATATGCTCCCAAAGTTAGTCTTAATACAACTAAAATTACAGAGTTATAACTCTAGATACTCTATACAAGTTGCTAAAATAAGATTATTTTTCAAATTTTTACTAACAATATAATTTGAACTCTGAACCTACTACTTAGAAAATAATAATTCAATTATTATACTAGAATTGCTATTCTTATATTTCTGTTTTGTTTCTAAACTTTCAATCTAAATAGTCTAATAGAACTGTAACTTATTTCTTAATATATCAAGTTTAATTTTAATATTTTTTTTCAGTCTAATTTTAACAGTCTAGTTAATAATACTTTTTATCTAGAGATTCTTGACTATTTAGCTCCTTTATATTGATATTTATTTTTTAAATTTAATTTTTATAATAATATTATCAAAATTTTATATTATTTTTTTATTTAGATTTTTCAAAATAGACTTTTTGTTTTTTCAATTTTTACAGATTTATATAATTACAAAGACTTATTTTGAATTTGCACTATCTGATATTAGTAAGTATTTTTTTTGTATAACTAAAGTTATATAGATATTTTATAACTTGTCAGTTATAATAATGTAATTATAATTATAAATATCTTAATCTAATCATCAAAAATAGTTGTTATAATTTAAGTAAAAATCTAAAATTTTTATTATTGACAAGTTTTGAACTTATAATTTACTACTTGAGAGGTTAATAACATTTATTTCACTAAGTTGTTATGCTTTTATAAAAAATTTTATAAATACTATATACAAAATCCTTTTTTAGTATTAAATTTGAATATTAAAATCTTATTATAATCAATATTAAAAAATTAATTTTTAGAATACTGTTAAAAAACTTTTATAAAATATAAATTATTTAATAACTAACTTGAAATATATTTTTAATTTAGTGTAGAAAATAGAAGAAGCAAAACTTAATAAAATTTAAAGTAATTAAACAAAAATAAGTTAAAAAAGATTTTAGCATTCAAATTTGTATGCTAGATGGTTTAAAGAATAAGTAATATCTATAGTTAATAACTTATATAAATAAAATAATATGAAAACATGTAATATGATCTAACAATCAAATTTTGTAAAATCAAAAATCAATTTATACTAATTTGCAATAAATCAACCAATTAAACAAATTTCTGTTTATAATATTACTAATACTAATTCACTATTTCTTATTTACTTTGAATCAAATGTAATATAGATTACCTCTTAATAAATTCTTTAAAATATTTAAATTAGCTTTTTAATATTAATTAAAATATTAATTATATATAATATATATATAAACTAATTAATTTTAATGTTTGATCCTAATTTTGATTGGTTGATAATCAATTGACTTGCGTGACCCTGGATCGTCGATTCAATTGATCTACCCCGCTTTAAGAAACACCATTTTTGGAATTAAAAAAATTAAAAAAATCAAATCCGGCAAAAATCATGTAATAATGAGGGCCAGCGGTACCTAGATTTAATTACATAAGCGGGTTTTCATAAATAACTAAATACGTACGTACATGTCTAATCCTAAAACCCTAAATTAAGATTTATACATTAATAGTAACATACATTAATAGTAACTATCTGGATGATGACAACAATGATTGTGGGAATTAATTGAACTAAATTAATTGGTTGGTGGCATAGTCAATTTTTGGTGTGATGAATTATTTGCGTGACTAATAAGAGTTCACTAATACGTTTAATTAGTAAATCCTTATTTGTTACTTATAATGATTCATCGCAACCATGTAATTAATTGCAATTAATTGCAATTATTCGGTTTCAACTAATTTTATGCTAATTGATTTTATTTGTATGACGTATAACAAAAATTGATTTTAATTGATTTTTCGGTAAGCCTGAATGGCAACACCTAAAAAAAATAAAACAAGGCTATCTGATTAGACATTATTATCAGTAATATCTGATTTTATGTGAATAATATATATATATTGATTTTATTATAACAGATTTTAAATAATTTTATATATAGTTTACATAATTAAAAAATGATAATATCTATTTACTAATATTTTTTGCTAATCAATAATTCAATTTTTTTTATATATTAAAAGACATTATTGTACTTTCAACGTGTAATTTAACTGTTCTTTCAACCGCCCATTCAAAGTACACCGTATCCAAAATTGATGGAACAGATAACTGAACTATATTTTGATATTCGAATAAAATTAGCTTATTAATATATGAAATAACTAGTGCATGTAATTCGGCTGATTTGAGGAATCTGACCTTTATTCAAATCCCCATATATATATCTGCTCTTTAATAAATTTGGGTTTTTAAAAACAAGTTCCGATTATTATGTATCGGGACTTTATATAACTATGAACCGAAATTTTCAAATAAGGGTTCAATTTTTAAAAATAATTGGGTTTTGGATAAAGGTCAAATACCAAGAATCTGCCGAGTTGGAACAGGTGTCACTATAAATTCATTCAATTACAAATGACCATGTGACCAAATCCGCATTCCATCTAAAGCACAAAACAAATTAAACTTTTACAAACCATCTTCGCTAAGGCTGAATTTAAACGTTTTGCAAGGTTTTGTGGACGCCGATAGCGCTTTAAATCTTTTACTTTCTGTTTTTGAATTGTTACCCGTATTGGCAGGAGCCAATGATCCAGCTATCATTCCTAATAATCCAGGGCTTGGATTCCATACTCGAACCATTCCTTCTTCAAGTGAACATGATACTATGAATTTTCCATCTCCAGAAAACGTTAAAGCTGAGACCGCTTTTGTGTGGCCCTGTGAAATAAAACCTCAACGTTTGCCATTACTACCATTATATGAAATATCGTCACTCTTCTTACATACCTCCAATATATGCCATCGTGTTGCTGTCCTTAAGTCATATATAATAGACGCTCCTTCCTGCGTTCCAACTGCAAGTTTCTGTGTTCCGCCATGAAATGAAATTGAAGGAAATGTTTTTACTAAATCATGTAAAACATTTGTAGTAGTTTGTAGAACTGTTTCTCGCATTTTAGGGATGTTCGGGTCTAATGATTTAACTACTGCTTCTACTAGTGATGAAAGACTGGTGTAAAGTACAAGTGGCTTTCTACGAATAAATAGTGATATCAATTTTAAAAGTCCATGTTTTTCTGCAGGTTTTTTAGAATTATTCGTATCATAGGTAAGGGTGGAAATGCATAATGGTGTATTAACTGCTGCTATTTGAAATATTGCTCTTTGTGCCATAGCTTTCACTGTCGCAGCATTGGCGTCAGAATCTATTGCAAATCTAAATATAGTCTTTACAACTGCTACCGCATCAAAATGTATTGAAGTGAGTTAAGTTTAATATTAAAAATATCAAATACCAAATATCAAATATAAAATCAAATGGTTAAAATAATCAAGGATATGAGGCTCCCATGTTGAAAATCCTTTACCGCACAGTTCAAGCGCCGCTAGTCGATGGGATAATTTAGATTCATCATGTAGTAGTAATATAAGTGATAATGCGGTATTCTCAGACACTCTACGTTATATCCATTAAATAAAGTCATTATTAAAATTTTGAAGAAAATTCCACGTATGCTAATTTACTCACGTTTTTGATAAAAATTTAGGGTGATCTGCCCCTATCATTCCTAATAATATTGTTGATTTAACCATATACTGTTTAGCATACATATCTTGCGACGTTACTGCTGGTACTTAAGTCAAATTAGGTTGGAAAAAATGAGATCAGTGATTTATGGATATTATGTTCACGTGAATTAAATTATACGCTGGAGAACAATCCACTCACAAAATTGTTTCCAATAATCAATGATAGACTGTAGTTCAATAGATGGCATGCTAGTTAATGCCGCAGAAAAAAGAGTCTTTGCAGAATGCCGTATATCCTCTTTAAAAAAAAATAAATTAGACTAAAAGTTTTGACATTTCGAAAGCACTACCAAATTAAAATAGGAAATACGAGATATTCATTTCGCTATTTTCATTTGGCAATAACATATTCATGCCTACCAGTTGGATCCTGAAAATATTTTGCAAGGAAAGCTAAAGAAGAGTTGTGAAATTTTGTACCTATAAATTCGGGTAACATGGAACCATAATGTGTGATAATATCACTAGTATATTTCTCTAATCCTATAGAAGTAACATTAATAGGTTAGGTTAATATTAAGCGAAGGATAATCATAATTTTTAATAAAAAATACCTTTCATTAAAAGGAATGGTCGTGTTAAACTAACAATTGACAATAGATGTGTTGCTGTCATAGTTTGAGAAATTTTCCAGGCCTCATGATGATCATAAGAAGGTGCTGCAATAGATAAATTGCCATTATACCTATTAAGAATGTTAATAACCGTTAATAAGTCATATAATAAATTATAAGCTATCAAAATACTTACCCTCTCAGGCCAAAGGATACATGTTCTGATGGTTTTTTCAAACCTAATTTCTCTAAACAAATTCGGTCTAAAGAGTTGTCAATGCCCCATGTCATTAAAGCAGAGACTATAACTTGAACACTACTCGCATCAATTGCCTGGTCCTGTAATTCCGAAGCAGAAGGCAATGACGATGTAATACATTGATGAGATGCGCCATTAGTTGACCAAGAAAAAATTTTAGAAAATTTATCTGGTTTCTCATCAAAATCTTCAGCATTTACAACAGGAGCATCAACTTTTGAACCAATTTGAGAGACGTGATAATGATAAATATCGGTGATTAATTGTTTGACATTTATCATAAAAATTTGAAAATTAAAAACTCCTACAAAAAAAATAATATAATTAATTTGTGCAATAGGATAATTTATTGAACTGATTAGGAATTAGTTTGTATTGAATACCATTATTTTGTAAATTGACTGATGACAAAGTTTTAACTTTATTGCTTGTAAATGCCGTGAAGTCATGAGGCGATACAGTGCTAATTAATTGCAATGCAATTAAGATTTAGAACATAATATTGATAGACATAATCAACTTCAATACATCGAAAACCAACCTAGATTGCCACGTTTTGTCATTAATCATTTCTCTTGCAATAGAACCTTTAACAATCTGATATAGTTCAGAAGTCTTCATCTAACAAATATCAAGTCAGCATGAATTTAACGATTGGAATAATTTTTCAGAAGAGATCATGACTCACCTGCCATATATGTACGGATTCATCACCATAATATAGTGCTAAGAGACCTTCAGTTATTCTCCATTGAATTCTGCATATGTGATATGGGTAACCTCCAAAATTATACAAACTGTTTTGTAGAATTCATAAAATGAGGTAAGTACCAAATTAAACTTTGGACTATAAGTATAGAATGAATAAATATATCCTACCAGCTCATCTCATCCAAAGAAATTATGGACAAAGAATTATCTTTTGCAACAGAAATTATACATCCTTTATTTCTCGTGCACGTTTCGACAGGCGGCTCAAATAAATGAGTCACGGGCGTTGAATGATATGTAAATGATGCCAGCCGCTTTCCATTTCTAATGGAATGCATGTCAACAACCAAATTCTTTCAATGATTAACAGTACAATAAATAAGTAGAAGCATGGATTAAATTTCTTAATGCATTATTGCACCAATGACTTACTCCAAGCTCCATATCCTTACTGAACAATCTTCTCCACCAGTCACAAGATATTTGTGATCAAAATTAGTAATATTTGGAGTGTACATACATGTAATTTTTCCAAAGTGTCCTTTCAATATCTTTACTGCATTTAGTGAAAAATCTTTAAAGTCCATTGTCAATGCCGAAGAGATTGGCAAGATATGAATTTCACCATTTTCTGTAAAAAAGGTTACTATGAGTACATCTGTCTATATAAATATCTATTATTATAAATATCTTTGTAGCATACACACCATATCCAAATGCTATCTGATCATCATTCACCATAGTCGCAACAGTAACTTTAGGAGTTTGATGATCTCGCAACGGCCATAAATCAGACAAAAAAGTTTCTACAAATTATTAATGAAATTAAATAGTGATAATATGAAAGTTGAATATAAGTTTGTTGTAAAATTACCGGAACCCCAAGTAGATTCTTGAACGTGTTTATCACACATTTGATATTCTTGTGTAGTTGTCGACAGCAACTTCCATGCAAATGATGTCCCCTCGAATTGATTGCGGAAGGCAATTAAAAAACATCTAGTTTGTTTTCCCTCAGCACTAGGAGTCACAAACACAGTAATCTTTGCAGGACTCATGAAGTCTATAATAAAGATTTATTTACTATACGAATCATTAATATACAACCATATCTGTCAATTATCATGTGATAAAATACCGTTATTTCCAGAATAAACGGATTCTAGTAGTTTAGGTCTATAGCATTAATATAATGCAATGTTAATTTCATATAGACAATATATTATAGGATAATAAAATGTTTTCATACTTTGAGTGACCAGGTAATGAAAGTTTCTCTTTATTAAGTCTTTTCAAATCAGGTAATGATGAACGCCGCGGAACGAAGCCCGAGTTCATTATATGGCCATTCTCGGAAGGATATTTTCGTGGCGTGCACGATATGGAGTATAAATGCGCGTCACCAGTCTGTAAAATGTCAATGTTGGTTCAAAGCTACTACTTAAAAGAAACTAAAATCATTAATTATACCTGAGTGTAAGCTAGTATCGTATTTTTTGCCAAGAATACACCGCTAGTCCAAAAGGCACCATTTTTAAGAATTCTTATACTTTGCATATTGTACATTTTACCACGACGTATCGTAAATATCTAAACATAAAAAGAAAAATTATTAAGCCGATCATATAACAAACAAAATTAGTTGACATCGTAGTTATTACTTACAATAATGAAATTATTCGTTACTGCCATGATTACGCCGATATCATATGGATTATTAATTAATTCTAAAATTTTGTCCCCCTGAGCCTGCAGTATTCCAACATTATCGTATTCTTTTATAATGGATTGTTTGTTTTCATCAAATGCCCAGATTTTCAGAAATCCATTGAAATTCGATGATAAAAGTCTTATTTGGCGTGCATCTGCCAAATTGTGCACAAAGAGTTGTGAATTAATTAGCACTATAAAATGTATAAACACATTTTATTATCTTGCATTTACCGGAATCATAAAATGGAGTACAAGCAGCCCAATCGTTATGACCAGTCCAAACTCGTATAATCTAAAATTAACATAAACTTCCCAAGTTAATGTTTCAAGAATACAATAAATTTCAAATTCTGAGAATATATTACCTCCAAGGATGTACAATTTAATATAGTAATCTCATCTGAGAACCCAGAACAAAGGAGAAATTTAGGTATCTGGTACAATCAATGATATGAAGAAAGCAAGCTTAGATAACTATTCTAACGAGTATAATTAAAAGACAATCATATATATATACGTATGTATACCTCAGCACATGTAGCTAAAGGCTTGATACTCCTTATCATGCCATCCAAAGCTTTGGGCATGCTCACGAGACATCTCCCGTCTAATAAACACCATTTCATAACTTCTCTAATATAAATATTTACAATTCATATGATTCATAAGTCGTAAAAAAATCAATAAAATCGATCCTTTCTTAGATCGGTAAAAAGCTAAAATTATCCATTACCCATCTTCCGATGCACTAATTAATACATAATTATTCCCAACACAGCCATCGGTTGGCCCTTCTGTAATGGTTAAGGCAGTAATGGCTGATTTATGGCCTATGCAAAGAACTTTATGTTGTAACTAAAGAAAAATGAATAAATCTAATTTAGCATTATACGAATTTGGTTTATTCGAGGTTTAGATCACCACTATTGCGAATTCTATTCTCGTATGTTCTTTTAAAGTTGGATAATTATGGTTATTAATTTTCACCTGAAGTGCGCCTTGTTCGTCAACTATACAACGATAAATCCATATAAATCCATCCTTAAGACCCGTCGCAACGTGACCTTCTTTATAGACAACCGTTGTAACTGGAGAAGAAGGTAATCGGTTCCATAAAACTAAAGGGACGACAAGTGACGATGAAGCCATGGGATAAAAGAATGTAATAAAAACGAATATAGAAAGAAAATGTTTAAATTAATGTCAGTACATACGTACGCACTAAAATCTTGTATGCTTGTGCGTAACGAGCATCCTAGGGATCTTATCCGGATCAATCCGAACAGGTCCCAGTCGTTGCCCCTGTAAATCTGTTTCTTACGTAATAATTATCGTTATATGTTCGTACAGTATTTAGCACACAAGGTTATTTATTTTAAGGTAAATTTTTTTATCCGGCCAGGTTATGAAACCAAAAATTAACTTCGTTAGTCTTATGTAAAAACCATATTAAGAATTTCATCAAACTAATTTTAAAAAAAAAATTTATGGGTCGATACGTAACGACATTGAACCTAGCTGCCGCACCAAAAATGTCACGGATCGGCCTCCGAATTTAAAAGTTAAAATTTTTTGTATAAGTAAAATTAGCTCGGGTGTATCTTTCACTTAACCGGCAGGTGTGATTTAAAAAAAAAAAATTTCGAGAATCTGCAGTGACAATTTTGTCATGCCATTTAGCAAAATAGCATGCCACCCTGGCACGCCATAACATAACGATAAGTTATAATTTTTTTAACCAATTATATAGACTGCATGAATATGATTTTAGTATAATTTTATAATAAAGCATGCTTTAATAGATTTAAGTATTTTTTGGCGTGCCATGCCATCGTGGCATGACGCAATGGTATGCCTATGACTATCATGCCAGGTTCTCTACAGCTAGGGTTTATCATATTTCGGAATGTTCAAATTAATAACGAGATTGTTAACTTATCAATTACTTGATTTTCATGCAAATCACGGAGGTAAAATTTCCATTATCGATATAGTTATACAGATCAAAATTCTGTTAACGCTAATGAAGTCATTGCAGACGTCAGTGTTGGCTATTTTAGGTCATATATGACTAAGTCGTAATGTAATATGTACGTACGTATAAGTCATAACAGGTTATATACAGTATAAGGTCATAATCTATTAATCTATAATTAGCAAATAGATCAAAAAAAATTTACATATACGCGCTTTATATACAAGGTATTCTTGTAGGTTTTACAGTTGTATAGAAATAATATATCCAACTTTGTTATTTACTTGATGAAAAACTTTGGCTTTCACTGACTACTTCTATAGTCCCAGAGTTGATATATGCGCAAATTTATATTTATGTATGCTGCGCCTACTGCGCTGATTCACTAATATCGATATTGCTTAATGCCGGTACCGATTTGAAAATGAATTCTGGTTCAGAATTTGGGTAAAAAAAAAATATTTCCTCTTTTGACGGCGAGTTTGTACAAACAACCAATTTTGTAAATGTTCAATTTCGTACGTACAAGAAAATAATGAAAACTCGTAACCTGACATTCAATCATATCATTGAGAGGATTCAAATCAGATTACGTACAAATTATTATTTTCTTGTACAAAATTGGTTGTTTTTTTTGTACAAATTTGCTGTCAAAAGGGATAAAATCAAATATAATAAGTGATTGTGAAACCCACGCTGAATTTAGTAAAACCTGCTTGGATTATCAGATTGGGTGAAATCCTTTTTTTTATATGCAAACTGTACACGTACGTAGCAGATTTAACTAGAATTCAGCGCGGGTCGTATAATAGTTATTGACGATCTAAAATTTTATAAGCTGCAAAAAAAAAAGAAAAAAGAAGCACATTTAGTGAAAATAAAGCAATAATTTGTTTATATTTCTTTAGTACAGTATCGGATAGTAAAAAATATACAATTCTTTATATATGTTGTGCCTCAGATTAACGTTCGGCGAATATCAGACAAGTAATTCGAATAACAAATCTTAATCATTTGAATATTCGTATAAATATTTGCCGATCTAAATTATTCGAATAAGAAATCCGTATGGTCAGTCAGATGTCGCTTAGACTTAAGTTAGGGTTAGAGTTAGGGTCAGCTGATAGTCAAATGATCATTATGCATTTAGAATACACCGAGAGAAACCTGAATCCAGGACACGACCAGGGCGGCCATCCAAATTTCGAGTCACGGGATCCGCGCCACCACCGCAGCTGCAGTACGACCAATAAGATTACCGACGTACAAGGAATTTCGATTTGAACTTTGTGAATATTTCTGTTTTTATAGGCTTCGAAAATAAAATTTGAATACGTGAATATGGAAGAATATTTAGCTTCGATCTATGGTACAGAGAAAGATAAGTAAACTAAATTTGGGTAGATAAAGAATAAAAAAATATATCTTTTCTTTTATTTTAACTAACTGCAGACTGATCTTTTAATTCGGTAAATTTAAGTCATGAAAAGATATGGTTATATAAATTTTTTGTTTCAATATATTATAAATACAGGAATAACATTATGAGGTAATTAAGATTTTATAGAAGTTATAAATAAATTAGAGGTCACTACTCATTTCATCTTTATTACTATTCATTTTATCTGGGAATGATAGATACATTAGGTATGGTTTTTTATTCTCTGGAGCCCATGTTGCTAGTTGATGTCTCTTTCGTTTCACTGCTTGTACTTTTTTTTTTATCTCTAATAATTTACTACTTTCTATAACTGCATGAACATAATTCCAGTTATTAGCTAATTTTTCTGTACAAGCTCTTTTGAATACACATTCGAACAAAGGTCAATTTAATTCAACAAAGGTGCAAGTATTATTTTCGAAAATTTTATCATTATGAGGTGTATTGTCAAAATTGTAGGCTTCAACTGATATTACAGGTAATACAGATAAGACATTAGTTATGACATTGAGAGAACTTTTTATAATAAGGAATGGTGGTGTGATACAACATTCAAAATCATTTCTAATCAACTATTTACAATCTCTATTAGGTAAATTTACAACTTTTTGGACCAGATGCTTACATAGTAGGAAGTGATTGCTAAGAAAGACAGAGTAATTATAAACCCAGCAGGTGCTATCAGTAAAGTATGACCTAGTAGATTCTGTAGTTCTTGTATTTGTATTCCACTTCCTCTTGCCTTTACTATTATTACATATCGCTGCCCATTGTTCTTTACTTGCACCATTATAATTCTACTCTTTTTTAAAATCGTCTTACTATTATGGTTTGATTATACCATTTAAAAGCTAGGAGAATCTCTCTTTTTGAGTTGGAATTACCTTTTTGAAGAGAGTTCATACAAGTAAATCTAATTAAGATTGATTAAAACAATAAAGATAATGTTGCTTTATGACACTCTAATGTGACTCAATTTTTATCATTGTTTTGCTTAAGGGTATAGTGGGCTTAGTTGATCATATCCACAGGTGCTAATGTTATAGAGAATACTAATTTGTTCATAGGTAAGCCCACAACAACCGCAATTCATTTGTATTACAAAATTGGTATATCTCCTTTACTGCATATTTTCTAATATTTTCTGGTATCAAAACATTGCTCTAACTGTTTATTGGTATAAATGAATGTAGATTAAAATGTTTTTATATCAGATTCAAAATTGTTTCGTAGTGCACCTGTGGGCATATAACATATATATGTATATTTTGATCTTCATCAGTTGGATAGAAAATTGAATTGATGAAATCGAATTCTTCAGATGTTCTATTAGCATTATAATTTACAGACAATAATCCTGTATTACTTAATTATTTACCAGTTGCTTTTTCTTAAAACTTAAATTTTAGAGCTTGGTTCATATGCCAAACACATAATTGTATTACTAATAGCCCTTATACTGCTGTTGCAATATTAATTTCTGCGAAATCCTTATTCGTAAATACAAAATAAGGATTAATATTATATGCTTTTATGGCCTCAAAAAATTCTTTTAAGATTTTATTACACTTGTTTAAGCTAGTACTTGAATCTATTACTTTTGTTTTATCTAGTACTAGATAAGCAATTGGAAATCTAGTATCATCTATATTTGCTATTATACTATACAATTCACAATGACCTCTTGCAGTTTTATAAGTTGCATCTATGTAAATTTCACTAATACTAATATTATAATTATTAATTTCATTTAATAAGGAAGTAGTAAATATGATTACTACAGACTCTAAATCCAGTCTATCAAGATATCAATGGAAGCTCTGATCATAGTATTTATTAAGTAGCATATGTGCAGATTTTATATGATTATCATAGCATTGAAAAAGGCTTCTACCTAATATGGATTTCCAATAATAAATTTGTTTTGCTGAATATTTAGAAATATCAAACTTTTGGCGTCTTAAATAATTTGTAAGGTTTACAGTAATAAGATGTGCATTTGTTTCAATTTCTTCACACAATTCAATAGGCATTTCAGAACAAAAATCTGGATATGGATGGAGAAGTTTATGATAAATATCTACTGCTGCTATGCCAAGACCCAAGTCAACTTTTATCTTAATTATTCCCTTGCAATCATAGCGAATGCACTGTTTATGATTAGAATCTTTGTACTTTCTGTACACCTCATGTGATTGGCAGCATATATAGTAGAATTTGTCAACTTTATCACCAAATTTTTTTGACATTTTGGTATGATGAAAACTACAAAGTATTTTAATATTAATAATAGTGTTATGGGCGAAACCAAAATTTATAAATTATTTAATCTTATAGCCAAAACTGAAATTTTAATTCACAAAACATTTCAGGTTTGGGTCAAAATCCTGGAAGCTAAGTCCTGAAAATTTAATTGTCACTTACAATATTTAAAACTCATAATGATTAATAGCAAACTTTGAATATTGCATCACATAAAGTAACAATTAAATTTTCAGAATTTCACTTTCAAAATTTTGACCTAAATCCAAACATTTTAGATTTTGAAATTAGTTTTACTTGCAATACTAATATGTAATTTACTTACTTTCATGAAAAATCATCACCACCTTCTATTTCAGCAACAACAAAAGCAGCAACATCTTTAGCTATTACATCTGGAGTTGTATCTAAATTTACTAGCAAATTGGTTTGATAGACTGTATTAATAACATCATCATCACTAACTGTAATTCTTTAATTTCAGATTCAATAAAGTCTTCAATGTTAAGACAATTGATCCTGACACATCCAACATCAACATCTATTTCCTGGTTAATGTCTTGACTAATATTTTTTCAGTCATGGCTTTCTTTACAAGTTCTGCATGTTTTATAATGAATATTATTTTAAACAAATTGATCTTCAGAATAATTATGTTTACACTTTGTACAGATCATAGCATAAAATGTTCTGTAAATAATGCCAATTTTTATATGGTATGTGATTTCGCTGCAAATTAGGGAAGTTTTTTAATAATTTTAATTTCTATTGTTAATTATACTTGATATTTATAGGGGTGTGGTGACCTAGTGAAGTGAATAGGTTGTTAACCACCAAGTGGCAGGTCTAGAGTTCAAATCCCAGTGACAGTGAAAATTTGCAATTCTTTCTGTGTTATAGCTAACTGTCT